GATTGTGATCACTTATTAGATTCCCTTAACTATAACCACAACTTCGGCCAGAATTAGCTGTTGGATAAGGATCAATAAACAAACCACCGATTAAACTCCATTCTTGATTAGTAATATTTAAACAAAAGGCTTTTTCCGTGGATTGATCGATCAAAAAAACTCGATCAGCATGATCTACACTTGAAGTTAAAAACAAGCTTTCGTATTCAAATTCATATCCATCATCCAATTTTGGAAGCTCAATCTTCTTGAAATGTTTGTGGCGAATATTGAACATGCCAAACTCAAGCTTATTTGTCAGAATGAAGATATTACTGGAAAGCACAGTTACACGAAGTTTTATCAGCGTATCATGAAGTCTAGAATTCCTCATGATTTCATCACCAGATTGCATTATTTTCGTTAACCAAAACTCAAATTCCTCATCATGACCATGGGTATAAATAAGTCTTGCATCAGTTGTGTCGCGTATTGTGTATCTGTAGATAGGCCGGAATCCAGAAGGTTTCCAACAATATTTTATCCTAAAATATAAAAATAAAAATTTAAGATTATTTATTCGAGCACAGAAAAGTATCTAAAAATACGAATGCGAAAAAAGAGTTATAGCGCATTTCAAGATTGATTTCAACAGTAATAAATGGTTCATTGCTGTAAGTTCAATGAGTGTTGACTTAAGAATTAATAACTTACGAGTGATTCGCAAGCAATCTACTGGTGCTAAATAGATAAGATCTGAAATCTTTCTCATTGAAAAAGCGATATTCATTTCGATTCCAATCAATTCGAATTGCTTTCCTTCCAGAATGGTACAAAATATCAGAAATATGTTCATCGTGAAGCAGATTCGGTGATATTGATTCGTCCAATTTTATAACTCGATTAAACAGGAACAGAAAATTATTGCCAAGTACTGTGATTCGCAAATCCGTACCATTCAATTTTTCAATAATAATGAAACAATTTTGCTTAACTCTGTTAAAGAAACAATCACAATTATGTTTGGAAGGTAAGCAAGATTTTGGCTCAAAACCTGATAATTTGAACAGTTCATTTTCCTTTATCTCAGATAAATCTTTCTCTTTTAAATGACACCATCGAACTGATCTTAACAATTTTTCAAGATGATATTTTCTAGAATAATCATTGAAATGAACCCATCTTGCGATCGCCTGGAAGACTTGATATTCTGAATAAATCATCAAATCCAAAGCACAAATGTACTCTATTGTTTCAACAGGATAACTTAACCAAACAGCGGTGTTTGCTATCTTCAAGAAATGGCGACAGATGAAAGCATTGAGAGTATCAAAATTGATCAATATGGAAGTTTCAGTGACTTGAGGTATAACAGTTGCAAGATGTTCAATCGAAAACCTTTTGCGAAAATATTCAGTGCATTCTTGAATCAAGTAATTCATTCCAAAATAATCACTTATGTTGCAAAGTGTTATAACGTATTTCATATCAATTATGGCACTATCGAATCTAATCCAATTTAAAAATGATTTGAAAGCTTTTTCATCGAAATCCAGTTCAACTTTGTTTTCCTTTGATTCCAACACATCATGGCTTAACATCCTTTCAAAGTAAGGCACTTTACGAATTATTTTTTTACTAATAATATGTGTCATTGATCGATTCACTATTGTAAGTTGGTCATCAGTTTGCAATGGATCCATAGTTAAAGCACGAATTTAAATTCAACAAGGAATTGTTAAACTTTCATGAATGAATAACTTATCATATTATTTAATATACTAAACTCAAAAGAACAAAGAAACAGTTCATTTAGTGAACAAGGAATATGTTTACGGCTTCGTTGTACCTTCGATTGACCAACAAGAGATCCAGAACAGCTAAGCTAAGCACAAAATAGCCAAAAGCTTTAAGAGCCAAAACAGAAGAGCAAAGGATTTTAAAAGGTAATATAATCCTTCAATGTATTTAAATGTTTCAAATTTGCTGCCATTTTACTGCAGTCTTTAAATTGCCATAATAAAAAGACTCAAGTCATTTGTATCAGCAAGTCGATGCTGTACCCGACTATTTAAGCCAATCAATTAACACTTTCATTGCCACTTACACGCCAGCTTCTAACCAGCTTATTGCTCGTAGTCACTCACAAGAAATAAACCCAAACTAAATAATTACTTTAAATAAACCCAACTTTTTAACGAATTATGATTGATTTATAAGGTACCTAATGAGGCAAGTTAAAGCAAGTTTCAAAATCTCCATCTATTGAGCTTTAATTTTCAACCAATCAGTGATTTTTGGTTGTGAACTTTGTCTCGGAAAGTCAATTATCAATAGATGCCGACTGAGAAAAAATTGCTTCGTTTGGGTCTTCAAGTGTACTTACCAGTGAGTTTAAGAGAGTTTGAGTTTGTTTACAAACATTTTGAATTTTCAAGCTTTTAGGTGTGAAGTCGTAAACTTAATCTTCTTTCTAAAACTAATTAGTAAGCAATATAGCTTTTCGTGAGGATTAGTCAAATGGGCAGACTAGACTCAGAACTTTAGTATACTCCACAAAAAGGGATAAGTCTCATCAGAATCGACAATTGTCAATTTTTTGAAATGCTATTTTTTTAACAAGGCGACAAAAAGTAAGTTTATTATAAAAATGAGCCAGACAACGCTCCCGTTTGGCCATGTCTTGTGAATTAGGCATACAATATGAAGGAAATTCAGTAAAAGAGATAATCTTTTGTACATGAACATACTGTAGAAAAACCTCAGATTTAAGTTTAATTTAAACAAATAAATATTTAACCCAATTTTAAAGCTTTAGTAAGCTGATGAATTACTCAGTTCAAGAATAATTTTAGTAAATTAATGATCTGGAGTTAGATTTGGAGTTTAAGCAAGTTCTGATGGTGTTTAACGGAAGAAAAGTAGAAGTCAAAGTATACAGACTGTTGGAATTCTTTTGGTCATCAGCAGATGAATAAGTTGTCATACAACCCTTTGAACTCACTTTAGTGTTGACATCGAAACAAATGAATTTTTTTGTGAGTTTATCAATCAAAATAATTTTATCACCAGCTGGATTCGATGTTAACAGGGTATTCGTAAAACTGAATTTATTATGCCATAAGCGATGGCTCCAAGTCCGTCTAAGCACCTTATTATTAACTTCAATTTTAAACTCGTATAACTTGCGTTTATTTGTCAGCAAGTAAATCTTATCGTTCAAAATAGTGGCTTTACATTGGTTTAGACTCGGAAACATTATATAATTTATGTAGGGTTGTCTTGAAAAATAGTGCAAACGACCTGCGTGAATGTAAATCAGGCCAAAATTTTCATCTCCTTCTAAAAGTAAAGAGCCGTCTTCAATCTTTTCTCCTGGTTCTAAATCCCCGCTAAGATGCGTTCCACTAAAGCACAAAAGAAAATATGTTGAATTAAATGTTTGATAACAAAAAATGAATTTGACTAAAGTCATAACAATGTTTAAGATATGAATGTTGTACAATGAAAATAAATATGAAATTAATAGCAAAGAGAGATCAGTAAAAAACCTCAATACGGACTTTCATTGTAAAAATGATTACTTACTATCCAATGTTTCCATCGATTGTTTTAAGCAATTGAGTATAAGGTTGTGGAGGGACAAACCACATAAATTTTTTACGTTTCCAGTCAATTCGAAGGGAATTCTTTCTGGTATCGAAAAGAAGGTCAGAAACGTGTTCATCATGGAAAAGCTTTGGAGACACACACGGATCATGTCTGATGACTTGACTAACCAGTTGTGTCAAGTTATTGTCAAGTACTTTGATTCGCAAATCTGTACTCTTTTCAAATTTTTCAATCATGATGAAAAAGTTTTGCTTGGCTCGATTGAAGGTACAATTGCAATCAACCTTTCGAGGAGCACAAAATATTGGCTCAAAGCCTGAAGATTTGAACAATTCATTTTCTTTTATTTTAGATAAGTCTTGCTCGTTTAAATGGCACCATCGGACTAACTTTAATAATCTTTCAAGATAACGCTTTCTAGAATCAACCTTGTAATTCACCCATCTCATGATTGCATCGAATACTTGATATTCTGAATAGACCATCAGATCCAAAGCACAAATATATTCAATCGTTTCAATAGGATATCCAATCCAAAAAGTTGTGTTTGTTATCTTAAGGAAATAACGACAGATGAAAGCATTGAGAGCACCAGAGTTTACACATTTACAAGGGAAGGTTCTAAAGTATGAAATCGATATGGAGATTTTATTGGTTGCTATCGGCACATTAGACCATGTATAACACTAAAATAACGAAATTAGCTGCTACCTTTTCGATTTCGGCAATTTATCGCCTTTTTTCTAGAAAAATTTGTATGGTTTTCAATGAGGATTTGTATTTGTTTTAATGAATGCATAACCTGTGGTGAAAAATTATGTTACAAATTGTTCATTCTTTGTTTATTTAATTAATAATTGATCAATATTTTCAAAGTTGGTCTCTATTGATAGCCAGGGATCAGAGGCTCTTTCTTATGTAAGATAATCCTTTCTAATCCGCCTCGTTCATTTTAAATTTGAGATTAGCCACGAGGCTAACAAAATAGCTAGCATTGAATTTTTTGAGATTATTTTTCATTCTTTTGTTAATTGCTCGGAATTCTGAGTGACAAATCGACCTGAATTAACACAATTATTTAATTGACCCTTAAAGTTTCAATTTGTGTTAATTTTGGAACTTCATGCTTTTAAAACGCCCCGCAGTGTAAGTTTGAAAAATTATTGGAAATTTTTGTTGAATTTTACGAGCATTTTCGATCATTTCAAAAAATCGTAAATGTTGGATAACTTTTGAACCATAATACGGATCGATCTCAGATTTAAATCCAGTATTGACGCAAATCTGATCCCTATTTCCTGAAAATTTCAGGCTTATAGCTATAAAACTTAATAGAAATTTCAATCAAAATATTTGTAACATAATTTTTCACCACAGGTTAGTATGAAAACTCTGATTTCGCAATAAAAAGTATATGTTCCTGTTTCAACATTTCAAAGTTTAAAAAATGAAATTACAAATCCTCATAGAAAAGCATACAAATTTTTCTAGAAAAAAGGCGATAAATTGCCGAAATCGAAAAGGTAGCAGCTAATTTCGTTATTTTAGTGTTATACATGGTCTAATGTGCCGATAGCAACCAATAAAATCTCCATATCGATTTCATACTTTAGAACCTTCCCTTGTTAGATGTTTTATTCACTTGAGGTGTAACACTGTGAAGATGTTTAATTGAAAAATTGTCATTGAAATAGGTGATGCACTCCTTTGAAATCCAATCCAGACCCAAATAATCAGCCAACTCGTACAAACCAATTACGTATTTCATCTCAATCGTGATAATTGCATAATCGCTTTCAACTAAATTCAGAATTATTTCCAAAGTCTGCTTATCAAAATCCAATTCAACTTTGTTTTCCTTTGATTCCAAGCATTCATGGCTCAACATCTTTTCAAAGTAAGGCACTTTACGAATCAGTTTTTTACTAATACGGTATTCTGTTGATTGATTCACTATCGTTAGTTGGTCATCCATTTCTAATAAATCCATATTTGACACACACTTTGAAAACAAAAGGATAAAACTTATGTACTATCAAGAGGAGAGTATCGGACTACTTGTTTGTTTTTAAGGTATAAAGCTAATGAAGAAATGATCATTTTTTCAATCTTCAATCAACAATTTTCTCAGCTCCAGGAGTGATAATACAAAAGATGGAATCAGTTGACCTCTTCACTTGAGCCAATCAGCGAACACTAATGTTTCACTTTCACACAGTTGCACTAAAACTTACAATGTTAATTTGCTCAGCTAACTGGTTCATCGTCTGGATTAGCTCTGTAACCAACTCGGCCAAGAATCGATTGAATTGACTAGAAACATGGAGCCATTACATCCGATTCTGATTGAGTTGATTAAGTCATGCAATTTCAAGTCATGGTCAAAACAAATTCATTTTCTTTAATTGATGAAATCATTTTGAAATAATATTGAACGATGAAGATGGTCAATCTAAACTGACCATTTCAATGCCACATAATGTGCCCAATATCTGAGCATAAATCTGGTAACTTCACTTTATGACTCTAACAAACAAATGACTACTGTTACCAAACACTGTGTGAGGATAATGTAGCATAATTAAGTGAAACTGGACTCATGGAGTTTTGTGTTTAAAACTAATGATTAAATGATTAAAGTAATTATTGTTTTTCAATAAGGCGAGACTTTATGACTTGATGGGAAACATTGCTTGCAACTTCACTACATTGAATTAAGGAATAAATTTTCTTGAGCAAACAAGAAACCATTTTTCTCATTAACGAAGTCATAAAATCTTTGAATTTTGTTTCAAATGTTTGCAAGTTGATTTCAAAGACTAACAACTTGTCATTAACAAGCTTGGTGAATTAGACTAAAAGATCAGTTTTCAAGAAACGCAGTCAACAATTTAAGTGTAGCTTAATTGATTAACTTAGCTTTAAATTGCTAAAATTATTTAAATTCATTATGGACAAAGCATTCTAAAAGAAATAAATGAGAAATTTTATACGGAATCAAAGATTAGGACAATATAATCAAATTGACACGATTTTTATTAGCATCTTTTTAGTGTTCAACATGTTTATCAATACAATTTAGGCAGTTTGATGCTCAAAAGATGTGGCATAATTAATTTCGTTAATTCATCGAATCAAGTTTACGTTTTAAGCAAGGTCTGATAGAGTCTATCGATAAAAAAGCTGTGGTGAATGTAAGCAACTCACTAGGCTTCTTTTGGCCCTCAGTTTTGCTATAGTCATAATTAATCAGAAGACCGATAGGATCCCATTCTTCATTCAGCCTGTTGAAACGAAAGATGTTTTTCGTGGACTTATCAACCAAAAAAATTTCATTTCCAACTTGACTAGAAGTTAGAAATGATTTATCGAACCACAATTGTTGATCTAATTGTCCAAAGTCAATAATTTTAAGCTCTCCTTCTTGACCAATTTTGAATGTCATGAATTCAGAGTTTTCAGTTATTATGTAAATATTTTCTCCCAAAATAGTCGAATCAAAATATTGTTCATAGTCAAGCACTTTAGGATTAATGTTTCCAAGTTTAGGATCCAACCAATAAGCAACAAATCCATCTTTTATGTGAAACAAAACAAACTTTCCATTAGCTTCGAGAAGTGAGCTTCCTTGAATGGTCTGACAATCGCTGAGATTCTTTGTATCTTGGTAATTTGTCCTAAAGGGATAGGAGAAGGATGAAAAAAATATAAAATAATCAAATAGAATTTTCAATACATAAATACAAAATAAGCAAGAGTCGTAATGTTGTTTGCAGAACCACATTCCACAAAATACATTTCGATTGTATTGATGGGAGGAAATTGACTTGATTGTAAACCAATTAATATTAGCCAATTCAAAGGCATCAAATACACCTTTTCTTATCTTTTAAAACTGAAACATTACTCAGGTCATTGAAATGCGGATTCGATAATTATTTTTCTGTTTTCATGAAGATACTATTAAATAAATGCAAAACAGATTAAAGATCGCATAATTTTGGGAATATTAAACAATAAAGTGAAATACTTACGTAACAAATCTTGACTCAAAGCATCTAGCGATTTCAAAATGATGCGATACATATGCTTTATAATCAAGCAAACGATATTTATTCTGCTTCCAATCAATTCGAATCATTTTCCTTCCAGAATCAAATGAAATATCCGAAATATGTTCATCATGAACGACATGCAGAGGCATTGAAATGTCTAATTGAATAACCTGATCTATTGCTGGCAGAAAATTACTGTCAAGTACTTTGATTCGCAAATCTGTATCCATCAACTTTTCAATGACAATAAAATATTCTTGTTTAGTTCGATTGAAAATACAATCACAATCAACATCTCTAGGTGAGCATATTGGTTCAAAGCCTTCATATTTGATGAGCACATTTTCCTTTACTTTAGTTAAATGTTTAGACTCCATATGACACCATCGGACTGAATTTAGCAATACTTTAAGATGTGACCTTTTAGAGTAATGATCCCATTTCATTACCCATTCCATAATTGCATCGAAAACTTTAATCTCTGAATCAATCATCAGGTCGAGCTTACAAATGTAATCAATTGTTTCGAAGGGAAAATCCAACCAAAAGGCCGGCTTGACAATTTTCAGAAAATGGCGACAGATGAAAGTATTCAAAACGCGAGAATTGATCAATTTAGAAATTGAAGTCACTTGAGGAATAATAACTGGAAGATTAGAAATGTGAAATTTTCCATGAAAATAGGTGGCACAGTCCTTCATCAAATCATCGTTGATTCCAAAATAATCAGCCATGTTACAAAGATTGATTACGTTATCCATCTTGATGAGCATAAGATCCATTTCAATCCAATTGAGAATTATTTTGAATGTCTGTTCATCGAAATCCAGTTTAACTTTGTTTTCCTTTGATTCCAATAGATCATGGCTCAACATTCTGTCAAAATAAGGTATTCTACGAATTAGTTTTTTACTAATACGATGTTCTGTTGATCTATTAATTATTGTTAGTTGATCATCACTTTCTAATGAATCCATATTAACACACTTTTAAAAATAAAGTTGAGTTTTTGATATACTAGGTACTCAAAAATTTGTCAGTCACTAGAGAAAAAGGTTAACAGACAGCTCTTATCTGAGGTTCACTAAGGCTATCACTACGAAGATAATTGTTATAACATCATTACACGGTGTTAAGTAATTCCGTTTCAAGCCGGAGTTTTTATTGTATTCAGAGTTAAGCACAAATACAAATAAAAATTGCCCAACTTTTAGTATGAAAAACTACAGTCAGTTTGATTCAAAAGAGTCAGTCTCAAAGAGTAATACTTTCTGGTCAGTCTAACATATGTCTGTCTCCATTGGAGACTCTTCAAGGCTCCAATGAGACTAGAGCTAATTTAAACTCACAATAGCCAATCAGTGAACGTTGTTGTTTTTACTTTCATGTTAGCTATTTTCACCAGTTTAAAAGTTATCGTTTGAATTACGGTTTTTAAGTATTTATTTTGATGCATAGTAATACATTAACATAAACTAAATGTACATCTCTATTACTTGGTCAGTTGAAAACTATTTACAATAATTATGTTCAATATTTACAACCATGAAAATCTTAAGTACAGTAATATTTGTCCGAACAATTGTCCGTGATCACAAATGATCATTAAGTGTTTACTAAAAGCCAGAATGATCATAATAACCACCTAATGCTGTCACAGAATTTAATAGAAGAAACAAAATCACTGATTATAAAAATTAGTTTCATCGATATTTATTTGCAAAAATAATTTCGGATATTTATTGTTAAAGAAGATGGCAGGATTCCCTGAAACTAGTGTATTTAATTTACAATGCAAAATTATATTATCAGAAGGCAATTCATTAATTTTAGCTCAGGTTGATGCAAGCTTTAATAGCGTCAATCGAAAGGAATGTTGAGGTGAAAGTTATAAGATCTTTTTGACCATCTGATCCGCTATCAACAATGCTACCCATTGAACTCCATTTTTTAGTTTTAACATGATAGCAAAAGAAGGCTTTTGTATACCTGTCAATAATAATAACTTTATCTTCATTAGCTTTGCTAGAAGTCAATAGCAATGAACTGAAGTTCAATTTATCTTTAATTTTTTCAAGTCCAATCCTTTCAAACAACTTCCAGTCAAACCACTTGCGGTCAATGTTGAACTGAATGAATTCAAATTCCTTTGTCAGCATGTAAATATACATATGTAGTTATCCAAAATAGTTGTCACGTATGTGTGAGTACCGCAAAGTGAGATGAGACTCCATATTTTCAA